TTCAAACGAATTACGTGTTTTGGTTTAGCGACCCCATGAAGACTTCATACTTACTCAAAAGTGGTTCACAAACATTTAACGCCATTGGGCCCAACACAAGACGGAGATCGGAATAATTAGGACAATTTTAATTTGGGGTTGAATCAGTTTTGCAGCGGTTTTTACGATACAAAAAAATACCGTTCAGCTAATGTTTGTATAAGTTACATAAGATTGTAATGCATGTAGCAATCATGTAATGGCCATGATTGTTGGAATGAAAAATCAATCAAATAAACAGTACAGAATCGCCCAATACTGTAACATGAAGTTGGAAAAATTTCAACACAGACTACTTTAAATGTTAAATGCCACTCGGTGTCATGATGTTTATGATTTTCAAATGTTAATAGAACCATGTGCGTCATGTCAAAGGATTCTTTGTACTAGAAAATATTAGATATACAAAGGATCCCCGCTGTGGAGGATGTTTATGTTGCAGTGATCGTAATGAAATGCGTTTTAATTAGTATTACTTGCTTCCAACAAGTCTAAAAATTCTCTTTATAAAAAACTTCGAACAACAACAAACATAATAAATTTACTAACAAATTGTTAACAAGATGCTGCAAAGTTGTGGTACGGACAAACGAATATGATAGCTCTCGAAACGTCGTAGCGTTAGTTGCAATCAAGTGTGTTGTTGTGTTGTAAATTAGTAAAATAAGATCAATAAAATTTAAGTTCCTCAACTAAGATAAAAAATATATGTATAAACACATCAACTTATTTACTATAAACTCACATCTAATCAACATTATTTGTACATAAATATGAATAGACAAATACAGTATATATACTGTAGGCCTATTTAACTTTAGGGATTGAAATAGATTACGACCAACATGATTACAGGCAAAACATACCACACTATTTTAAAACAGTTTATATGTGTTTACATTTCTTGTCGTGGTGGACTTTTTCTTGCATCTACATTTGTACAAAAATAAACATATCCTTATTATTTTATTAATTTTTATTTCAAGTAACTGTTTGCACATAAAAGGTGTAACTTGTTGACTTTATTTTAAAGTGAAAACATGTTAATTTGACTATAAAATCACCGGAATATTATCATTTTTAGGGATAAATTATACACAATTTTATTTTAAATTTAATATAGGCTATTTATATACACCAATAAATAAAACTTCCAATGAGAGGGGTTTAAAAAAGATTTCGTCGAATAATATGTAGTATTTAATTTCTTACTTACTTTACCACAGGATTTATCAATTTGAAAAAGTATCTCTAGTATACTATGATAGTAATAATTTTATAATTTAAGCTTTAATTTCAGACAAAATCAAATTTGTATGACGAACTCCGACTAAACTATAAAAACAAAAGTTGGGGCATTTTGTATAAGTCATCAGTTTTAGATATATTATTGAATATTTATATTTTACAGATTTATGGTCTACAACCTCAATTTTTGGCGGCTAGATAATCAATTCAAATAAGAAAATTATCGAAGTTGTATTTTATAATGTCGTAAGGAACACACACTATACTACTCAGCTTTCAAACCATTTCCGGTTATGTTTATCTATAAATAGAGTAACTGATTTATAACCCACTACTGTACTACAAAACCAAACTGATTCTATCAATCAATAACACACATTTAACACACATTTAATTAGGCCTCACATTTAAATAATCATATACTGTAGTTTGTAAATGAGATTGTTAAGTGTCAAGTCTACAAGAGTGACAGAGGGGGTGTGAGAGGGAGAGAGAGTAAGAGTGTGTGAGAGAGAGGAGAGAGTCGGAGGTACGTACCTAAGCGGCGAAGAGCCCGTAGTGAGCGCTTGCCACTTGCTACGATCCAATGCCAGGCAGTACTGTCACAGCAATCGATTCCCATCTCGAACCATCACTCATACAATTGTCACTAAGTCCTTCTCTACCACAATTCGATTTATCCTTTCGCCGACCGAGTGTCTGACTGAACACATTACATTGATCACAAACTATTAACAACTCAGCTTCATAGTCATGGCCGTAGGTTAGAGACCTTTACAATCGCAATCTAATTAGCTCGCGAGTCGCGAACTGTAACTACAAAATAATTATTAAATTGTAAAAAAACTAAAAAGTAAGTATCACAAATCTACATTCTTAAAGTAAAAAATGCGAGTTTTGATTCAACCATATATAGTGTCAGTAGAGTCACATAAATGATTAGTAGTAAGTAGTAAGTGGGCGTTTTAACTTGAGAGTTTAAAGACAATAGGACACGAAAATACTTTTTTTAATCTGAAAGGCCATACTCATCGTTATAGAATAAGACTGTATGTTAGTTGCAGATCTCAGGATTATACAAGATCTAATTTAGATAGTTACGTATCAAGGTATACCTTCAAACTCGTTAATTGTGGCTGTTTCTGAAAGTATGGTAAATTACAACCTGAACATGACAATTTGAATGAAATTGAAATTTTATATTAACTAGCTAACTAGGGGCTATCAGCTAAACTTGTTCAAACGAAACATGTAAATTGAATAAAACATTACTTGGTACTTTGGTACTATACGGAGGTCACTTATTTTACAGCGCGCTGAGGGGGCTATGTTGGGCTGGGTTATCATAAATATATGTACTTTCCTCGCTTCGTTATAAATTTAACGATACCAGATACTTTCTATTTATGATAACCCAACCTAACAACAGGCGCAGCGCGCTGTATAAGGGTGGCCTCCGTATAGTACCAAATTACCCTAAACATTTTAAGACAGAAGTCGAAGAGAATCTGTTGAAGTCAATTTTCGACAACAAAACTAAATAATTCAAGCTCCTAGATTAACCCTAGGTCGTTCCTGGCCTGCCCAATTTCTTTGCATTAAAGGACCCTGTATGTTATCGCTGCACAAATTTTTGAAGATTCTTCAATATACCACCTAACTATACACACTCAAGCATGAAGAACTACTTCAAAGGAACATAAACAAATGACTAGCTAGGCCATAGATCTAAAAGGAAGAAGTCTCGGTGGAAACTTCAGTTATACAAAGCAAATGCCTACTACCCGAATTAAATCATGAATTATTTTAAAGAGGAAATGTTACAGGCACGTGAATTTAAATTTAACAATTAATTGAGTAGTAGAGCACTTAATATACATTAAACCAACAAGTTTAATGTTAGCACCTGGTTTTTGTGGAATTTTTTATTCGAACGAAGGTAATGTTGTTTGTGGTATTGTTGTAAATTGTTCAATTCCATCAATTAATTCTTTTAAGATCACAAACGCACAGAGGAGTGCTCTTTATGGACCTATTAAGATGAAAAAGAATGCAAGGGTGAGTGCAGGCAGAACTACATCCCAATACGATTATGGTCATTGCTCAAATTGAAGTTAATCTATGTTGAACTTAAAACTGCATAATATGTGTGTCTTTTTAGGTAGGGTATTATAGCGATGCCCTGTGAATATTGGTTTGAGGTTTCGCCATGTTTATGTTTGTTTTCTTTTAAACCGTTTAAAAACTATATTCCAAGCAAAGGGCCATTCTTATTGCTTTTTACTTACTCCCCCTATACATAGTATATGGATAAAGTATTGTTTTCGTCAAAATTTTCGAGTTTGAGTTTTGAGTAGATATATTCGGACCTGTGGTCCGATTTCAATGAAATTTGGTATGTAGGTTCTAATCCATGGTATCTCCAGGTGTTTTTAAATTTTTTTGAAATTTTGATTTTTAATGGGGATTTTCCCATAAAACCCCATCAAAAACCGGAAAAATCGGATTGTCTCAAAAATGGCCCGGACGATTTTGATAAAAATTTAGTATGTTGTAGCCCTATAAATTCTGAACAAAATGGTACAAATCCCTGTTCTGTAAAAATTATGGTTCAAAAGTTATTGTAAATTATGTTATTTTCCCATAAAAACCCCATAAAATAACGGAAAAATCTGATTTTCCCTCCAAAAATTTTTATGTTAAATTTGAATAGGCCTAAACAATTTAGTATGTTATAGTACTTTAAATTATGAACAAAATTGTACAAATCCCATTTCCGTGTATTTACTCTCACCGCTTACACATGATAAAAGTTGTTGACACACTTATGGGAGAAAGTATGTGTCAGAATGCTGATACCGTTTATTTGCTTGGTAAAAATCTGGACAATCACCCCATAAATGTATTGAATAAGCTATGTGTTGTTCCATCCGGCCAAAATACCACAAACTACTGTACACCAATCTGAACAAGGAGTAGTTAAAGATGTAGTTAAAGTAGTCTGATTTAGATCTTCCTGCCGATTGATGATATGTATTTGTGCACTTTTTCATTCTGCTTACGGACTGTACCAATGAATTTCTTTTTGTTGGAATCTGGAATATTCATGGCAAATAAATTACAGAAATATACTCTTATGCCACACTTACGTCCTTTTTGAGAACAATGCAAGCCCAATGGATTTAACTTGGATAACTATTCTATATTGAGTTCGGAGATTGAGAGTCACGTATTTCGGACAATTCATAGGACTGTTTCCCAATACAGTAACTGAAAGATCTCATCATTACTAGATTTTTCATACACTGTACGAGCAATTTATTTCCATACGTATATAAAGGACCACGACTTATATAAAAAATGGATCAACAAATGCTTCCGTCAAACATAAAACAACTTAACTTTTAGCTTTAGAAAATAAGTATAAAACGAAGTAAGTATGAAATATGAATGCACTCGTTTGCTCCAGCATCTACACTGAGTTAGTTAAAGAAATAGTAAAACACAGAACAAATTCAAAGAAAAGTAAAAATCAGAGTTTAGGTAAATATGGACTTTTTAGTCCGCCACCTCTTAGTGGAGTATTATCGCGTTACAGTAGTCAGTTTTGCTGTGGCAACACTGACTCTCATGTGTTTTCTTTTCTCCTGTCACTCGGCTGTCTTTGTCTGCCAAACTGCCGTCTGCTGTGTTTGAGTGCACTAGCACTTCTGCCTGCACTACTTTCCATGTGATTGTTTATTTATTTACCGTACAGCAGTTTTGTCACCTAAAATAACATATATTCTCATTTTCTTGAGGCTTGAGGTTGAAATGATTATTTTGGATCTCTAGAACTGCTCAGCTAGTAATGTAAGAATATTTATTTACTAAGCTAATTGCTTTTTTTAGTAATGATTAACACTTTTGTAAGCTTAACCTATATTTCCGATAACTTCTTATTTTGGTCTCTTATCTTGAAATAACAAAAAAGTTATTGACCCTCCTAAATTTTAATATGATAAAGAACATGGAAATTACCATTTACTCTGCCGTTGTCAGTAAGTAACTTAATTCCAAATAAGAAAGGAGGATTTTACACTAGGCTAAGTTTTCTTGGTAGTTATACTCTCAGTACCTATGCTATATTTGAATAAATTAAAATTTAGGAACCATCAATTTGATAATGCTGACATCGAAGAGTAAATTAGGAATACACAAATATAAACATGTGAATTCATGGTAGGCTTATGGTATGGGCAATAGTTTAATTTTGCAACAATTTTAATTCAGTAGTAGAGCACTTAATAAACCAACAAGTTTATCTGGAAGCACCTGGTTTTTGTGGTATTTTTTATTTGAACGAAGGTAGGCCTATTGTCGTTTGTGGTATTGTTGTAAAATGTTCAATTCAATCAATTAATTCTTTTAAGATCACAACACACCGAGGAGTTCTCTTTATGAGCCTATTAAGATGAAATAGAATTCAAGGTTGAGTGCAGAATTATATCGTCAAGGTGAAGTAGGTTTGAAAACCACACAATCAATAAATGAAATGAAATGAAATGAAATGAAATGAAATGCTTTATTGTCGTTAAAACTGAGTACAAAGTTCATGACAATCGTCAAAAGAAAAAGAAAACAATCAAGATGGCAACTAAAACTAAAACTCTAAACCAAAGTACTCTTCATGTTTATACAGGCAAGCCTGGGTTAGAGTAGTTTTTAAAACATGTTTAAATTTTGAAACACACAGGTTTTTGATGGATGCAGGCAAGAAATTGTACATTTTAACACCTTGGTACTCAAAACTATTTTGAGTGGCTGTATACTTATGCCTTAGTGTAGACAGATTATCTTTAGATCTAGTACAATAGTTGTGAACATCAGATATCTTTTCAAAGTGAGAAATGTTTTCTTTTACATACAACAAACTTGCCAAAACATACAAGGATGGAAATGAGAGAATGTTAAGACTCACGAAAAGGGGCTTACAATGTGTTCTTCTATTCACACTACAAATTAACCTCACCGCCTTCTTTTGTAAAGTAAAAAGCAGCCTGTTAGCATAAAAACTGTTGGCCCACAGTGAGGTACCATAGGACAAATAGCTATGAATGTGGCCATAATATATACAAATAAGGACATCATCTGAAACAGTGGACCTAAGTGCTCTTATCATAAATATGCCTTTTACAATTTTAGATGCTACAAAATCTACATGTGAAAACCACTTCAAGTTTGACTGCAAATGAAAACCCAAAAACTTCAGAGTGTTTACATCATTACCATTACTGCTTAGACTAATAGTCAGGTCCTGAGTCTTATCAGCATTAAGACATAACTTGTTTGCATTACACCAGTCGTTAATAACAGCAGATTTTGTGTCCAATGTGTCTGTAACATCATTCAAAGAGTTACCCCGTACACACAAGGCCAAGTCATCAGCAAAAAGAAAGCTTTTTACAGATAAGTCATTAATATTACAAGGTAAGTCATTTATATACAGTATAAACAGGGTAGGGCCCAATATAGAGCCTTGGGGCACTCCGTGGGGCACTCGAACAGGACTAGAATAAGTGCCATTTAGATAGACTTTTTGCCATCTGTCACTAAGATAAGATTGAAAAAACCTAACCAAAACATCATCAAGGTTATAGCAAGAAAGCTTATTCACAAGGAGATCATGAGCCACTGTGTCAAAGGCCTTAGACATGTCGTACGATCTGAACACTATACCACTTTTGGCCTCTAAACTTTGAAAGCAATTTGATATCAGTGCCTGGGTTGCTTGGACAGTGCTGTGTTTGGGCCTAAAGCCAAACTGACTACTTGCTAAAAGGTTACTATCCTCAAGATACTGAGAAAATCTACGATGTACGAGATGTTCCAAGACCTTCGACACTGCAGGGATAATAGATATAGGCCTATAGTTAGCAATGACATTTTTAGGCCCTTTTTTATGGACTGGTATAACCTTAGAAATCTTGAACTTGTTTGGGTAGCAGCCTTGTGTTATACAAAGATTAAATAGGTAAGTCAAAACTTCACTTATGTAACTAGAAGCTAACTTCAAGATGGGGACATTAATTCCGTAAATATCTAAACAAGAGCTATTGTTAAGACTGTTGATGGCTGCATACACCTCTTCTACAGTAAATAGTCCAATCCTAAAAGCATTGTTGTCCTCAATAGTCGGAAGAGCGTTGCAAGAGGTCAAATTTCTAAGATATTGCTCAGGACCATTTGAAGAGGTGGGAACATTACTTCTCAGGTTTTCAACACAGTCGACAAAGTAGGAGTTCAGTCCATCAGCAGTTAGGCAGTCAGGAATAGACAAAGGCTTACTATTACAGTTGCTTATTTCATTAATGATTGACCAGGATGTTTTAGAAATATTACTAGAGTTTAGCAGTAAACTGTTGTTATGGTCAAGTTTGGCTTTCTTGATTTCTTTGCGGTACTGCAACTTTAATGAGTTGTACTTAGTTTTAACTTCAGCAGTCCCTGCATTACAAAACAAAAAATATAGCCGGTCCAGCTCATTTTTCATATTTACAAGTCCTTGATGATACCACCTTTTGTTAGGTTTGTTGTTAAAACCGACAGTAGTTTTCAAGGGAATCGAACCATTTAAGGCCCACAACAGTTTGTCAAAAAACACTTTGAATTTAGCATTTAAGTCTAGGCTATGGTCATATAATTCAAACCAATTCAACTGACTAAGGTTGGATAAGAATTTTAAGGAATTCTGAGGATTTAATTTCCTAGTAACTTTTCTCGGTAAAGAAATTGGATTAGATTTAGAATATGACTCGATGTTCATTGACAGAAAGGCCGCATTATGATCTGAGACAGGAGTGTGTATAACTGAGGCTTCCCATCTATCTGGGTGTACTGAGGTCACAATATTGTCCAAGCAGGTACCTTTGTTTACACTTCCAGCTGCGACATTAGGCCTAGTGATTTCATTAATTGCAGTGTGAAGACCAAAACTAGATATTAGGTTTTTAAGTTCCCGGACTTCAATGCTGTCAGACAGAAAGTCTATGTTAAAATCACCTGTGCAAAAGAAGTCAAGTTTCACACCATGCATAGTTGAGAAGACATCATGCAGTTTATCCAGAAATAAATAAACATTACCTGAGGGTGGTCTGTAGAAGTTTACGATCACTGTTTTGTGCTTAACGATGTACACCGCTGAGGCTTCAAACGTGAGTTCAATATACGGTACTCGTCACTTGACCAAAATAGGCTATGTCCATACACGATCAGAATTTTTATAATTTACGCATGTCTGAGGGTAGGCTTTGGGACAACTGGAATCAACGTTCAAGCATGTATGAGAAACTAAAGATAAAATAAAATTAAAGTTGACCTTAATCTTATTTATTTATTAGGTACTTAACGGCAAAAGCCAAATTCTACATTTTCTTCGTGATTTAAGACTTAAGTTGGCCTAATGTAATATTAACAATAACTTAATAACAAAATCCAAAGATTCAGTGATTTAATTATTCCTATTCCAACTGATTTCCCCTATTAATATAAACTTAAACCTCAAATTACCTATTTTAAAAGAAATGTTCAGTGGACACACATACATCCACCTTAGCTAGGATATGCAAAAAAAAAATAATAGCAAAATGCCTGATTTAAGATGCAACGCGTAGAAAGAGAATCCTTCCTTCTCATCAACTTGCTCCAGAGGCCAGAGGTCTCCGCCGTTTATTTAGATGGATCTCTCTCACCAAGCTCAGCCAAGATAGGGTTTTAACTCCTCATGAGTTGCACATAAGACCTGACTGAGACGGGATTCAAAATCTTAAGTGCCTCGGTGTAGTTATAAATAAGTATGTTTTAATTTACGTCTCTTAGCATTTTAATTGGGGAATTGAACAAGCCCAATTCTAGTTATTTAGAATTTATAAAATAATCTAATAACTTCAGCTATTGTACTCGGTTATTTTAAGCACTCGATCATCACCTGTTTCAAATTACATACAGTAGACCCCCTCTTAACCAACCTCGCATTAACTGATAATCGTACTATCCAACCTCGCTCGTAAAATATTACAGTTTGTTTTAACCGACTTTGTTTTGAGAGAAGTTCAGTTTAACTGCTGCTTTCTAGGAATCTTGGCATTTCTGCTCCCACGCTCAGCAATGGGATCTATACCTTAAACTCCATACCGGTAGCATGTTACCAAGAATAAGTTATTTTGTATTTATCCTAAAAATACTGCATCTTGTTTCTTTAATTTCAAAAAAAAGTTCTGCACTGTAATACGATAGATTTGGAAAGCATAAATTAATATTAGCCTACTAAAAGTACCTAACCAATAAGTTAACCAAGTGACAGCCGGTCTATGTGTAGGCCTAAGATTAAATTGTATACCTTGGTCCGTGGCAATAATCGCGGATTAAATGTTAAAGTAAAATAAATGTTACACTGTTATCTAGCTTTAAATTATGTTACTTCTTGAGATTTCATTTTTAGAAAATCAGGTAAATGAAAAATCCAGAAACATACGCTATTTATTCATACATTATTATTTATATATGCTTCTTCAAGAACCTGGCAATCATAAGGTAAACCTACATAATTAACAATTATTTGTTCTTGAAACTTGGGATACCACACAAATACACAATTTCTTTTTGTCTAAGACCCATATAAAACAATTTTTCACATTTAAGGTCAGTGTTTACATATCCTAATACTTTGGCAAACCACCTAACTGAATAACCTATTTATTATTTATAAATATGAACTCTTATACGCCATTTTCTAAATATAAGGGTGTGTGTTTTTTTTTGTGTTCATATTGTTTATACACTATAAAAACTGAATTCTACTGTTTTTCCAGAATGTTTGACAAGAAAACGAGTGTTATGTCAGTGAGGAAAATGAATGTACATATGAGTGTCTATGAAGAAACTTTAGACAGTATCATTCCTTTTTATGATGTGACAAACAGTTAAGTAATGTGCCACGTAACTCACCAAACGATGATATCTCTAATGAGGCTTTGTATGTAATTTAGATAAGTATTGTTTGTTCCTGTACAACTTAGTGCCAGAAACTGCCTTAATATTAACTCTTAGTGAGCTTTACCCCCAGGAGATACGGTAGCGGTTAACCAAAATGATATTTATAGTTGTATTGTGTGGCCTTGGATTGACTGCTGCACTACTTTTCAATAGGAATAAGAAGACACATTCCTCTCCAAAAAGTTTGCAATTTGAAAGACTTCAGAAAAGTTATCTGACTGTATATTACTTAGCGACATTTTCTGACTGGCTTCAAGGACCCTATGTCTACAAGCTGTATAGCGATTATGGCTATAAAGAAGAGGAGATTGCTTTTCTTTACATAGCAGGATTTGGATCCAGCTCTATTTTTGGAGCTCTCATCGGTCATATTGCAGACAAATATGGCAGAAAAAAACTGTGCATGTCATTTGGATTTTTTTATAGTATCTGTAACCTAACTAAAATTTTCTCAAACTTTTACATTCTTTTGTTGGGTCGAGTTTTCGGTGGGATTTCCACTTCCATTCTCTTCTCTACATTTGAAGCTTGGTACATCAACGAGCACATCAACCATCACAATCTGCCCCCTGAGTGGCTCAATAACACTTTTAGTAAGGCAGGTTCCGTTACCGGATTTCTCGCCATCGTAGCAGGCATTCTGTCACAGATTTGTGCTGAAACTCTTGGTTTTGGCCCTGTGTCCCCATTTTTGTTAGCCATCCCATTTCTGTTTACCTCCAGCTATCTCATAGCCAAGAATTGGAAGGAACATTCGTACGCCAACAATTGCAGTCACCAAAGTTGTATCGCTCCGTTGTATCATATATTCGTGAAAGACCCTATTCTTTTAGTTTTAGGCTTGATTCAGTCCCTGTTTGAATCTGTCATGTATACATTTATTTTTTCATGGACACCCATTATTTCTGATTTGAATCCTCCCTTGGGAATAGTATTTGCTAGTTTTATGCTAGCTTTCATGATCGGATCTAAAGTGTACAGTATGTCGCTTTCAGATACACGCCAGCCTCAGTACATTTTAGTGCTTACTTCTAGTTTCTCATTTGCTAACCTCTGTATAGTATCTCTGGTGATCACTTACTCTTTGTATTCTACACAAATCAGCACAGACTCTAGATTAATTCTTACTCAGGTCTGCTTTGTTTGCTTTATTTTGTATGAGTTTAGTGTCGGCCTTTATGTTCCTGTCATCAGCTATCTCAAAAGTAGAGTGATTCCTGAAGAACACCGTGCGAGCATCGCCAACTGGTTTCGAGTGCCGATGAACATTTTCACATGTATCAGTTTGACTTTGAATCAGTTTAGTGATAATGATGTTACTGACATGTCAAAATCTATTGTTATTTTTAAAAAGTTTCATTTGATTTACATTCTGAGTTCTGTATTTTTATTGATCACTACTCTAGCTTGTGTGGTTTTCAATAGAAAATACACTCGGAAGCTTTGTTGGGAGGAATCATTTAATGAACCTTCAGATACTTTGAGAGATATTGAACTTGCCAAAGACAAACTTTAAAGTTATATTTCAAAAGGTGTAATTTTGTGAATCTTCTTTTGGGACTTTGTACTATTGTAGGTTGTATAAATGTGATAACAACACACAATGTTAATAATATTGCAGAGTTTATATTTGTTATGTATTCATATAGTGCAGTTTGTTAATATTTAACAGCTTAGCTGATGACTGATACTTGGTGTGGTAAAATATGTCTTTTGTACTTGCTATACATCATGCTACAAGTAGCAAGTTACCTATGCTACACCCATACCTTGGGTTATTTTAAAGTACAATAAGTTTGAGTTCTATGTGATCACTTTTCCTCAAGACCTTTATAGACAATGCACCTATCCATAACATTTTACTTGCTCTCCTTTCTAATTTCAAGCTTAACGTTTTTTAACCATTACACGTTGATGATCTACTCTTGATATTTTCACTGACTACCTTGCAATTTTCAGTTTCAAGTCCTGTACCGTTAATTTGTTGTTTGTTGAATTTTTGTGACATCATAAAAGGTTATATGTCGGTCCCTATAAGGTATCTCAATGTAAACAGCTGTAGATAAAGTTATGATTAATTTTCAATCAAGGAATCTGAGTGAGGTACCACACATAGTGAAATGAAAGTTTTACGTTTTTATCAAATTATATACAAATTAAAACACCAGACTTTAATTCAAATGATGGCATAACAAATCTATTTATTTCACTGATGAAACAAATAAAAAAAACTAATGAATCATTTTAGTTAGTTAGTAATCCCTCTATCTGCTAAATTTATTCAAACAGTCTGCAGAAAACACATGTTACCAACTATCAATCAATTTGGAATTTGATTATGAAAGTTGCATAAACTTGATCAACGTAAAACAACTGGCAATTCAGTTTTGTAACATCTACTTAGCAAATGGGAGGGGGCGCAACTAAGGAGGTACTGTACCAATATCCATAACAGTTCCTGTTTTAACAATAGTTTCATGTTTTATTGTTGTACTCTTCTTTTTACTAAGTTATCTGTTATATTTAGAAACATTCAATTTGTTAATGATTTAATAGTAAATGCAATAAGACTTATCTTACCACATTTGTGTTTATTACTAGGTGGCTTACATAGTGTTTGAATAAGAACAGTTTGTTTAATGCAGTGTGAATTTCTTACTGCAGCGTCATGCTGTTAACAAGTCAAAGGAAAGACAACGCATATTAGTTCATGAACCATGTAATCAGCTTTAATTATCATTTAGTTTCCAGAATCTATCTTATATGGAGAGACAATTGTTATTTAAAACACACAAAACAATCACAAGAGTTGGAACCATCATAACTTAGTATTATTGGAACGACAGCACAATCCTATTAAATGTTTACACATAATTTAATTAGTATCCTTATAATTTTCCCAAGATTTTTGTATCTCAAAAATTTCTACCCCTGCCGTAGCAAACCTACTGACTAAATGAATTTCCACACACTTGATTGAATTTTTACTAAAATATTTCCTTAAACGTTTGAGATTTATTCCTTATTTAAATATTTTTGAGAAATAATCTTGTTGTACTTAATGTGGTTTATTAATGGCAATAGAATTTTGAAAAATTGTTATCATTCGATTTTGCTTAAAAAAGACAAATATATACAATGCATTTGCTCTATGCACATTTCAGAGTCAAGCTTATTGTATTATCTTTCTAATAATATCCTTGTGGTCTGCTATTAATACTGATAAGATTAGGTGGATTGCTTTTCACAGTAATCTTTTAATGCTTGGTTCCAAATTAATACATGCTTATATTTTCATTATCTTCAAGTATCTAAAGCACTGATTCAGCCTATGAAAGCAATTATAATTTTCCTTATTAGTTATGTGTTCCAATAAAAATAAAGTTAGATGACTAGAAATTCTGTCCCGTAAGCAGGTTTGCTGCAATCAATAATGGGCTAGTCATTTATGGAAAAGCTCTGACTTGATTATTCTGTCTGATAAAGCTAAAACACTAAACATCACATTGTATTACCAACGCCAGTATGTAAGCCATCTAAGTAATTATGTATATATAGTTGAATATGGTTTAACCTTACCTATTCAATCTCTTACTGACAATTTTTGTAGAAATTTATATATCTCAACCATGACTGTGATGGCTAAGTGATTTAACTGTGAGTGCTGTGAACTTTGTATGCAACTGTCTTAAGCTCAACACATTGACCAGTCCAGTTTAGTCTACTAAGTAGATTTCTGATTGCCAAGTAGTTAGGTGTTGATTATTATATTGAATATACTATCTTACAATTTCTGTAGCTGGAAACATGCTTAATGAAAGATAAACCAGCTCTAAAATCGCATTGACTTTAAATCGATAAACATTTTACATAGTCCAAAAATTATTTATTCAGTTGATTGGAGTGTTTGTTTTACTGGATACAAAGTTGAATTGTAGTGCCTATTTTTCGTTGGTGCAAGTATTTGGGGGACTAGTTTTTAAACGTAATGTTACCTTACATTCAAGCTAAAAATACCACATAATTGAGTGAAAATTTAAAAACGTACGTTTTCATGTCCCTGGCCTTTTACTTCGTAGATACTGGATTTGTAGTTTATTATTATGTGTTTTAATATTTTTTGGGACGGGGGCAACATGTTACACACATTTATTTCGTTTTAAATAGGTTCTAGGCATTTTTTACGTATTTTTACAGTCTCGAAATTCACGACCATGACGTGTCCCTAGGGTACATTTTCCAACTTTCACGCTGTTTTTAGACTAATTATTCATGCCGAAATATATAAAGCCATATTTTTATGTCATCAATGGTTATTAAACTTACAAAAAAGGAGCATATTATAATTTTATTGTCATTGCAAACTGACTACCATGACAAAATAAGTCTGTCCCTCGATTTGGCGTCACGACCATTTGGGAAAAATTTTCAACTTTGGAGCACGACAGTGGCAAGCCTGGCGTCGATGGAGTCAGTTGGTTTTAGAGACTAGTTTGGGGTGTACGTCAGGATTTTAGTGTGGTCGTTTCGAGTAGAAAGGAGGAATTACAAGATTAATAAAGGAAAGATTGTGTTTTTTGTAATTTTGGTGTGTCCATGACCTTACGTAGTCATTCGATGAAGTAGACATGGTGTTAATTTTTGTTTATAAGATATTTCAATTGCTAGATTAACCTAGAAGTCCACTTTGTATCCTCAAACATGAGGTGCAGGGCTACCGCCAGAACAGAGCCAAATAACACGTAATTTCACGACCAAAGTTTCACGACCATCGCGGGTTTTATCACGACCAATCCAGCCTTATGGATTATAGTGTGTTTGGTCGTGACAATAACTTTAATATAATTGTAATTTGAACAGTTTAGTTCAATTGAAACACTTATTTTTATTATAATTAACAGTATAATTGATGATTGTTTAGAAAGATTTAGATTATTTCAGAAAATTCACGACCGTACCGCTTGTCCCTGACCATCACGTTTATGATTTCTATCATAAAAATTTCAAAAATTAAAATATTGTCATATTTCAATGTTTGATACACAAAAGAAGCACGCCTCTATACAAACATAACGATTTTTCGGGTCTCAGGTAAGTTTTTTTCGGAGTTATACAAACTTAAAAAGATTTTATTGGTTTTTTTTCAATTTTTTGAGTTTTTTTATTTTTTTCTAGAAAGACCAAATATACCAAAAGCTCAGTGACCTTTTTGTTGTATAGTGGTCATAAAAGTAAATTAGTTTATAGCAAAACATAGTTATAAAAATAATATTAACTATTTTTAATATTCATTTAAACGTCTGTTATGGTCGTGACAGGATTTTGTGTTTTTCCACTAAAGATGCTCTTTAAAAAAAAATACCAAATATAATGCGTTACCATGGACGTTTTATGAAACTTCAAATGTTAATAAAATAAAAATAATAATAAAAGTTTTCAAAAAGGGGAAAAAAATTTGCAAAGTGCTTTTCCTGAAAACGTACGTTTTTAAATTTTCACTCAATTATCAAAAGTCGAGTTCATTAAAGTATTTAGATTCAATTTGCTTGTACGGTACTTGAATTTAGTATAAGTAGTATAGTAGGTGATTGATTTTGTAGAACCAAAATCATGTTTAGTGAAAAATCTTAAAGCCATAAAAATCTTACCCTAAAATGATATATTGTGTGCTTGTCTATGACTCAATACCAGTTGTCTCCAAAATGGCAGTTTTATACCATTTCTTTGTCCAAAGTTAGTGTGACAAATTATTTTACGCAATGTGTATGCACTACTGTATTACATGCAGTAAAAATATATGTATATGTATGCTCGAGAGGGGGCGGTCGCGCATTTCGCCCCCCCTCTGAATCCGCCACTGCTTGTCAAAAATAATTCATTTTAGTAGTAAATTTAATTTCAAGCAGTGTGGGAAATAATTTATTTTGCCAAACAAATTACAAATTATATTAAAGTAAAAGAATAGTATATTACGTTACTAGTCCGGAAAATAGGTGTTTACCGGACAAGTATGGTTGTTCCCACTAGATACAAAGTCGAGTGCCACTTGAATACCACCTCACAAATACGGTAAATACATTTTGGAAAAGTGACGTACAATATTTTTCACCGTACTACTCTAAACTAGCCTAACAATAAATAACTGCACAAATCTGTTATATATTTCCACCGACTAATGGACTTAACAGTCACATCTCATAACTTCTAAGAGAGGTTATGTTTTTGATTATTGATTTGATGACTTATTGTCAATTATAATAAGCTGGTGTCCGGTAAAAACTCATTAAAGTACAGTAGTACGTAATGAAACCACATTCGATTAAGCAGGCAAACAGCTGTACGGACTAATTTTATGCGTGGAAAGTCTATTAAAACAGTGTAGTATGGCGAAATAGTATATTACGTTACTAGTCCTGAAAATAAGTGTGTACTGGACGAGTGTGGTCGTTCCCGTGCGAGACAAAGTCGATTATGGGATTACCATACGAGTCCGGTACATACATTTTGGACGAGTTACGTACGATAGTTTACGCCATGCTACTAAATCTGTACAAATCCTTATATATTTCCACCAACTCAAGGACTAAAAATCACTAGTCATAACCTCTAAGAGAGGTTATGTTTTTGTTTATAACCATTGATTGCCACCTAAATACAGTATAATCAGCTGATTGGTGTCCGGTAAAACTCATTGCAGTACAGTAGTACGCAATGAAACCCCATTTGAATAATCTGACCGCAAAAAGCTGTTTTCTGGACTAAATCCTTGCGTGGGAAGTTCGTCAAAATAATGTAGTGTGGCGTAAAATAATTTACAATGATACTTTAATGTCCATATGTATTGTTTCTTTGAGAAATTATTGGAAACATTTTAAAAACAAGTCTCATATTGCATG